AGCCAGGATGGTCTCGATCTCCTGACCTCGTGATCCGCCCATCTCGGCCTCCCAAAGTGCTGGGATTACAGGCTTGAGCCACCGCGCCCGGCCTTTCTATTTTTTTTTAATGGTCACTTATGTTCTTAATATTATACCTAAGAAACTATTACCTAATCCAACTACATGGGAACTACTTTGTTTTTGAAAGCCTTATTAAATAATATAGTAAAAGAAGTTACACTCTCGATTTTGTCTTGGTAGGCTTTGGAAGTGATAAAGCAGCTAAAAGAGAAAATGAAGATAGAACGTGCTCACATGAGGCTTCGCTTCATCCTGCCAGTGAATGAAGGCAAGAAGCTGAAAGAAAAGCTCAAGCCACTGATCAAGGTCATAGAAAGTGAAGATTATGGCCAACAGTTAGAAATCGTAAGAGTCAAGTATTTTCTTTGCTTCACGTTACCTAAATAGTGTATTCTCTAGTAATAAATTTGTAGCAAACATTTAGACGTTGTAAACAGTCAGATATTTTCATAAGACTAAAGGTTGGTCAGCCTTGTTTACTACAAAACATTTATTTTTTTCCCAGCATTTCTTTTTCTCCTACATTATGCGTAGTGTTTTAGATACATTATTTTAGCAAATTTAGCAACCATTTAAAGTAAGCCACTTAAAAATCGCTATTTTTAGTGGAAGGTTAATAACTCCAATTACCTTAAAAATTTTGCAACAATTAGTACAAAGCACACTATGGAAATTTCAGAGATAGCTCAATTGCGTGCTTTACTCTGGTGCTGATCATAATCCTAAAAGACATAATCCAAAATGCCACAATCCCAGTGTTGAAATAACAAAAAAATCAAAATCCCTAAAGTCCAAAGCCTGAACTTCTAAAATCTTGAAAATTACAGTTCCAAAAGATTGAATCCTGGCTGGGCACGGTGGCTCATGCCTGTAATCCCACCACTTGGGAGGCTGAGGCAGGTGGATCACCTGAGGTCAGGAGTTTGAGACCAGCCTGACCAACATGGAGAAACCCTGTCTCTACTAAAAATAGAGAATAATCAGGCATGGTGGCACATGCCTGTAATCCCAGCTACTCGGGAGGCTGAGGCAGGAGAATCGCTTGAACCTGGGAGACAGAGGTTGCAGTGAGCCAAGATTGCGCCATTGCTCTCTAGCCTGGGCCACAAGAGCGAAACTCCATCTCAAAAAAAAAAAAAAAAAGATTGAATCCTGAATGATGAAATTCTGAAAGCTGAATTCTGGCAAAAGGATTAGCACTCTTTCAGTTGTATGCAGGATAGTCGCGTCTGCTTAATTGCATCATATTAGGCAAAGCTAGGACCTTGTTATTGTCTTCATTTGGAAATTAACAATGGTTTAAAGGGATGTGTCTTGGTGCCAGGTTGATGAGGGGCGGAATTGTGGATGTAATTTTAGGTGTCAACTTGACTGGAAAGGAATCCCTAGAAGCCTGATAAAGCATTATTTGGGGTGTGTCTATGGGAGTGTTTCCAGAGGATATTAGTGTGTGAACCTGATGACACTAAACACAGAACATTTTAAAGAAGCAGCGAAACCATTAGGTCCTTATGACCTCACCCCTTAGCTTCAAACACAGTGTAAATTCAGCTGTCTATAAATTCATGTTTTCAGGGCTTTGCAGCTTTTCTATTTATTTATTTTTATTTTATTTTATTTTTTTTTTTTTGAGACAGAGTTTCACTCTTGTTGCCCAGGCTAGAGAGCAATGGCGTGATCTCAGCTCACTGCAACCTCTGTCTCCAGGGTTCAAGTGATTCTCCTGCCTCAGCCTCCTGAGTAGCTGGAATTACAGGCA